AATCTTTTATTATAATAATAATAATATTTATCCTTTTAACAAGCGCTTGTAAAATTGCTAATATATTTTACAAATCTTCATTATATTTAGAATTAATAATTAATTATAAATTATTTTATAAATATTATTTATATATATGTTCTCTCCTTACATATATTAACAACTATGACAGTTTCTGTATATAAATATAATGCACATATGATTAATATCTCTATTGATGATAAGAAACTGCACTTGATATCAAATATAATCACATTTTCAGAGTATATTAACTACATATATAATTCGTCGTAATTTTGCTGTAAACAATCCAATTAAAAAAAAAAAACATTAATTTATATACCTCGCTGTATTTAGTGCGCTCTTCGAAAAGTACATAGAGCGCTCGTACGATCTCGTTATCCTGCGAAAGCGTGTTGGCAAACGTGTGAAGCTCGGACGGCGAGACGTCCTTGCAATCCGCCAACCACTCGTTTATCAAACTCTCCGTCATCTTTTTCGCACGCTTTACGCCTTCGTCAATAAATCAGGATCTTATTGACGTCCCGGAAGCGCGGCTTCGATTTCCCCGATTCGCTCGCCGTCACCGTCACCGAGATCATCACACAGATTTATCGCGAAGTCGCGTCGCCACGCGCACGGATACATCAAGGATAAGATATATCGGATGATATATCAGGCGAACAGCGGCTCTAAGATCCGATTACATGTCGCGTTACGTTCTTGTAACGCGAACTTACACGTTCGCCTCTCTTTCCTGACACGACCACGAGAAACGAGAAACAGGTTATCGCCAGTTATTGTCGCTGATCGCAACATCCACCAATGACGTTACGTGTCAGTCTGTCAGTCATCGCTTCGCGCAAGCTCAGATATATATATATATATATATATACCCTTATGTATTATATGTATGTTTGTATATGTACATATGTCGCAACTGATTGGAAAAGATGCGTTCGAAAATCTACCTGTGGATAAGATAGTTTTTGATTGACCAATCAAAATGAAAAGATCAAAAATTTCTTCGTCTCAATTGGCCAATTAAATGCTATTCTACTCCGACAAGAGAATTTTTGAATGCAACCCTGTAATTATCTACTGGGAAAAATTTTTATCTAGTGAAATTTTTTTCGAGTGTTCGACTGTCAGCGAGGGCCATTTAAATTCGTAGAAGATGCGTGGTCGACTTTTTGACGTTTCTGAAATTAAAATCTGAAAGTTCCCCTCAGGGGCTCACATCGTGAGTACGGGCTTAGCAAATCCGAGGTACCCGAGCTATTATTAGTTTGATAGATAGCCTTCAATACATTTTCAACTATAGTGTACAAGTAAGAAAAGGGCTCTAAATAGACACATAGGAAAGCATCTATTTTATCTATTTTCTTTTTTTAGAATACGAAGCTTTTTTTGTCCTTAAAAAACAATTTCTCCCACAACAGATCTTTATTTACAATTAAAATTTTTTATTATCTTAGTCTATTATATGTATCTTTTATATTTGTTGATGCAAGATAACAAGAAAGGAAAATTGTTAGTATACTTTATAGATCTATTGAATGTGAGTGATAATAACATCAATTAACTTGTATTATATTAATTTAATATTGATACATAAGAAAAATACAAAGAAGACATAGCTTATTTGCTTCTTATTTTAAAATTCAATATGGTTACAATAAGAAATAGTCTTAATCTTAATAACATTATTACAGTGCATATTTTACAATCTGATGGCCTAATTATCAATGCATTAAATCCTATATTACAATATATAAATCTTTTAATTAAATTGTTACAACATATGCAAAATTGGTGCAACATTGTAACCAAGTAATTTCAAAATAGTTAGATAAAGTTTAGTTATCCATTGTAGAAAATTGTTGCAGCTGAAAAAGATAAGAAGTGCAAAGTGTTGTTATATCACAGGAGTATATCAAAATTAAACAAAGCATTTTCTATTTGATATTGCAGGAATCAGAGGGTCTTGATATAAGAAATACATAGATAAATATGTATCTTTAATAATTTACTATATAATCGATTTCCTCTATTCTCTACTCTATATGTTTTCCTTTATTCGAAATAAATTGTTTGTTCTAAACTAAAAAAGATTTTTCTCTTATTTGCTTTCCTGTTATGCATTGAAGAAAAATCATAGAATAGAAGAGAAATGTTTCTAAATTCTCAAAGATATTAGAATATGATTGAATATGATAGAATTCGATTGTATTATTTTTTTCATAAAAAAGATAATCATTAATTAACTTACAAAATATAAGTTTCGAATTTTATGACATTGCAGATGCCCGCGACATTTTTCGGAAAGGACTGTTTTGTAGTTTGATATTGATATTTCCCACGTGCCGCGATTCTTGCCATTATCCTATATCGATTGATAATGTCCCCGTGATCCTTGACAATAGCGCGTACTGTGTTCAAGTTTCTAAGAAGATGGGATATTAAAGAAAATTTTAACAAGTTTAAAATCATATGAAATAAAGTGAAACGAAAAAAATTGTATGAAACTACGTTATTTTACCTGATTACTAGCATCATACTCTTAGGCATCGCTTGCAATGTAGCTGTTACTTTATCGAATCGCTCTTGTACCCGTTTTTTCATGTACTCGTCCAGTGTCATGTTGTCTGGTAACGATGAGAAAGAAATGTTGTACGGTGCTTGAGTTAACATTTCCACTAACAGTATATAATCTGAAATAATTCATACCAAGAATATATATTAGAGAATGTAATTTCCAAAAATCAAATTTAAAAAACTAAAGATGCAGATGTTTTGAATAATTTAGTATATTTAATATTTAAAACGATATGGAATTATCAATTGTATAAAATTTTAAGAATGATTGTGGTTGTATAGTATTTAAAAGTAAAACAATAAATAATTGCAAAAGTTCAGCAGATGTACAATAAGCAAAAAGCAGATGTTATAAATTAAAAGAGTATGACAGAGTTAAATTTTAACATGTAATACAAATAGATGTACTACAGAGAATTGTTACATACCTTTCACTTTCAAATCATTGGCAAGAGTTTTCAAGGAACTTTCATTTCTCAAAACCAACGATTCCCATAAGTTGCACAAGATATGTCTCGTCTTCTCTGACATGCGTTCATACAAGCCGTGGTCTAGTAGCACTATTTGCGCTTTTCCGTCCTTCCCCTTCCTTACCAGAACTATGCGAATCAAGATTGTCGATATATATCATATTTTTTATTATTAAACTTCCTAGCACCTCACTGCAGCTATATTGAATTATAAAGTCTACCAATAGATAAGGAATCTTACACCTTATAATATTGCAAAACATCTTTCTTTGCATAAAAAAATATTGTTTTTTTAAATATATTATTTGATAAAAAAATAATACCATTTCCTGGATGTGGATCAGCATGTACAAATCCTGTGTGGAATATTTGTTCTGCCATTAAAGTAACCAGTTTTTTATCGACATCCGAAATGTTTAATCCTTGAGCCTTAATTCCTTCCACATCAGTGATTTTAACACCATCAATCCATTCAGTTGTAAGAATTCTCTAAGAATATAAAATACAGTTAGAAAAGAAGGAACTTAGGAATTAAATAAGATAAATAATAAATTTGTATTTCTGAAAATCTAAGAATTATAGAAATGGGTAGATAGGTAAAATGGACTTCCACATTGTAACTATAAAGTTATAATAATTGACAAATTAAAAAAATATTTAAAAATATAATTAAATGATACATTAGCATGTGATTTGAAAAATACATTAAAGACAATAAGAAGTTAAATGTTAATTGAAGGAAATGTAATTTATATATAGAAATGTGCATAAATAAAAGTGACATACCTTACTACTAAGATTCCAATAAACTTTTGGTACATATGCATATTCAAATTTTTTCAAATCTTTAGCACATTGCTCTCCATTTTTTCCTTCATTCTCGAAATCCAACTCCATGTGCAATCTATCAATGACCTCCTATGAAAATAAATAATTTTTTGCAATAATAGAAAGATTCCACAAAGTTTGATAGAAAGCAAAGACAGTTATAATAAAAATGTAATGTTTGCAAATTATAAATATATACTTACATCAAGCACCCAATGCAAATCGAATTTGGGATGTATAATGGTAATAGCTTTTAATAAATAAACCATTGCCTTCAAATCAGATGTGAATCGGTCTTGAAGATCAATATATTGTACTTTGATAGCCACTTTATCTCCATTTAGAGATACACCTTTGTATACCTATTTAAAAGTGAAATTAATAAAAAATAGATCAATAGTGAAAAAAAACATTTTTATAACAATTTTATAAAAATTGTTTTTTGTAATAAAATATATAATTTTGAAAAAAGCAAATTCTGTATATATATTGTATTTTTAATACCTGAGCTAAACTAGCAGCTGCAACTGGCGTGGATTCAATTTCGCGCAACATTTCCTCAGGTTTTTTGCCAAAATCTTGTAAAAATATTTCTTCCATTTCACCTTTTTCTCGGGTTAAACATTTGTCCTTGATAAGCATACCAAGAAACAAAAATTTTCATTACATAATTATAATAGTATAGCATTCATAATAAAATAGTTGCAATTATTTTATACAAGAAAATTTAAAGATTGAATTTATAGAAATTACGTTAAAAAATATCCGCCCTAAAAGTTTCATAAAAATATTTCATTAAAAAATATATTCTATTTTATATTATTATATGTTGCTATAGAGATAATATGTCTTATTGAAATCTCTAAATATTTATAATACATAGGATATGTGGTAAGCTATATATAAGAATGTTTATTACAAAATATTATTTTAGCAAGTTGTAGTGTAAATTCGAATTGAATATTAATTTAGAATCATCGAGAAGTCATGAGATATCTGTAAAAGTGTACCTGTAATACTGACAAACTTTCAATATATTCTTTTGGTAAAATATGATTGATTGCCGCTAAGCCTTGTCCAAGTTTTACATAAATTCCACCGTTTTGCAAACATCCCTGAACGATCCGATCGGCGCATCTTCGATGAATTTCCGTTTCTGTATAGCCTATTAAGGGAGCAATCAAGTAATCCATAGATATTATCACACCAATTTTCAGTGATCTTGTAAATCTGATACAACTTCCTGCAACACTCTTTACAACTTTTTTTCTCTTTTGAGGTAGAAAGGTATAACTAATGCTCAACAGTGCCACTCCTGCAATGATCAACAAAATAGTCATTCATAAATAATCATTTATCCACTTTGTAGTGATCAAAATTGATTAAGTAATGTTTTTATGAAAATATAAAAATTTATATTATATAAAGTGTACAAATAAAGAGAGAAGAGATTAAGTTTTTAAAAAAATTACTTATATTTTTCTTCATGAATATTAAATTTAAGAACACTAAATAGTGATTTTTATTTATTTATCAATTTTTAGTAAAAAGTACATGAAAATACAGTAATTTAATTTTTTACTCCTAAAATTAAATAGGAAATTTAACATTTACACAGACATCTAAAGAATCATCAGTAATTAACTTTTCATTAAAAATATAACATATTGCGATAGTAAAGATTATGTTGTAGATATATATATATATATATATTACATTAAGTTACTTTAATAAGAACATATAACTTACCTGTACCAACATATGTGAAGCTTTTGGAAAATAATTTACGAGTTGCAAAATAATTATTTGGACTTATATGGCGCAACAATCCTGTTCGCAACATTGTTAGCAATTGATCAAATGTGTTCTCTTTTTTTTTGCAAGCATACAAATGTGAGCAGTTATTTGAATATCACAAATTTATTATTTCTATTTATATCCTCTATGCTCTTGAAAATCCTATATAAATATATTTAATAAATTATAATAAATATTATATATATATATATATATACTCTCTCTATGTAATTCTCTATAAATAATTCAATTATATGTATGTGTGCATGTTATGTATGTATGTGTGTAAAATATTGTTGGTATAATATACTGTGAACATTTTGCTTACTGAAATATTCTTATTAAAATCATCCTCATAAGTACTTTTCCTGCGTTTTCAGTTTTCTATTTGTTGTATGTATTTGAGTGGTAGAGCTAGTATTGATTTTTAGTTATGATTTTTAATAAAACTATCTTTTTCTATATATAGGACTTCTTCTTTTTGTTAGTTATAAAAGTCAGAAATACAACAGGTACTACACACACACACACACACAAGTTTGCAAAGTCATCGTATAAATATTATAAAAACTGTGAACGCGATTGTATTTAAAAAGTGTGTGCTGAAACAAAGAATATAATAAATATAAAGCCCACACATTGATTTTATGTGTAAAGAAGGTTCGCACTTTATGTTTTTACCGAAATTTTAACGATTTCTTCGATAAATCTCCATCTCTAGAATATGTCACAAGTAAATCTTTTTTATTATATCGCGTTATTATTTGCGCTGGTAAAAAATTATGTAAATTTCTAATCATGATAAGAAGAGCTAAAACCGCTGAGTACGCAATCAGCTGATTGCTGTTTTGCTAATCAGCTGATCATCGATGCGCAGTCGCGAAGGAGAGAGACAGAAGGGACACAAATATTTTCTCTCCTTTTTTACCTGATCTTTGCCCCATCAAAGCAGCATAACTATATATATATAAATTTTATCTATAATTATAAATATCTATTATATATAAACTTCAGATTGAGACAATTTGGTTTTATGCATTAAAATTAACAAAAAATTTGTTTTTTATTATATTGACAGAACTTATTGTTTATGTGTATGAGAGAGAGAGAGAGAGAGAGAGAGAGAGAGAGAGAGAGAGAAGAAAGAATTGGTAGAGATATTTATAAATCAGAACCCAGTTCAAGAATTTAAAATTTATATTTGATATATAAAACAGTAAAATAATGGGTTAAAAAATAAGTAATACATTATTAAAGATATTTGTTCAGCTTATTTATTTTCTGATAAAAATAGCTTTTCTTATAATATAATATAAAATATTAAATGCTTTATTGTAATGCAAATTGTTTCAATGCATTGTATAAATATCTTAATTTTGTTAATTCCCATAATTAAAAAAAAAAAAAATAAGCGTCCTATGATTCTATAATTCTTTTCCTGCATTATTTATATTATTTTTGAATTCTGCTTTATAAAAATTGTTTACAACATCAATAATCACTTTAATCTGTGCAGTCGTTACTTTTATTACATGTTGCAACAAATCTGTGGTGTGCTTATGATAATGTTTTAATGGCAGACCCGACAGTGTTTGTGCATTCTGTAGAAACATATCTGTTTCTTGTTCATAATACCATGAAAGAATTACTAATATTACAGTAAGTAACAAGCTAATTATAAAGAACCAAAAAATCATACAAGTAAGAGATCGATATAACCCAGTACCTGAAAAAGAACAGTAACCGTTAGTAGAACAAGTCACGAAACAATTATAACATTATGCAAATCATAAATAAGATTCAAGAATAAAGATTGTAAAGATGAAAATTCAGTACCTGTGGATTTGTGTGATTTATGTGTGCACATATTATCAGACAGTAATTCTGTTAATTTTACATTATCGCTATTGTCTTGAAAGCTCTTGTTTTGTGTTTGAGAATCAGTTTTATTTTCGTTTGACTTGGACTCTTTTTCTGCATTCTTTTTCTTCTTTTTCTTGCTCTCCTTCTTTGTATTTACCATTTCCTTTTCTGTTTCACCTGTGAAATACGTAACATTGCAATCTTGTGCAAGATTTAAGCAATGACTATACAATATAAAATGTACCTGTGTTATTTAATCTACGTAATCTTTCCTCTTCTATGACAAGTTTAACAGTCGATAGATAAGTAACAATATTACGAGCGCATACTTGACATTCGCGTACATTACTACATGGTCCTGCAACACTGGCTACAGCTTCAGTCAAAGGGTTTTCTTTCAAATCCAACCACCTTAAATTCTTTAATTCACTTAGACTCAAAGGTAATCTGCTAATCTGTAAATTGTGATGCATATAACTCTTTTAAAATTACAAATGTATAAGGATATATACAAATATGTAAGGATGTAAGAAAAAAAATTTTTTTTACCTTATTAGCATATAAATCCAAATGTTTTAATTGTGTCATCTCACCAAAATTTTCTGGAAGTTCAACCAACATATTTCTGCTAAGATCCAATTTTACAATTTGTTTTAAAGTAACAAAAGTGGTCTGCAAAAGATCTTGCATTAATAATATTCTAACTAATATTTTTAGATTGCATAGAATTAAAATCTGGAGCAACGTACCGGTAACGAAATCAAAATATTGGTTGATAGATTTACATTTGTAGCTTTTCTAAGAGACGCCTGAAACATGATACATAAATGTCAACATTTTTTTTCGTTTTTTTATAAAATAAAGGAAGTTACTCACGATTTCTCGCACAGGTACTTCTTCCAGCTCGCATAAGCTGAGATCCAGAGTGTCGTCCTTGAGTTTATCCTTCACATCCTTCAGCTTCAATTTGACAGTCATGTTTATCTCGTGAAATGCAGAGATCGTAGAAATGGAAAAAAAGAAAACCACAAAACTATTCCGCGTGTTGAGTAGTATATATATATATACGCGTGTTTACAATGCTAAATTACAAATTATCAATTAACCCCTTTATATATACGCCTTGCACGAAACAGAGAGTTCTTCGTGCACCTACACAATACACGTAAGCAAATTATATCAGGAGACACTTTTGACATATGGGACGCAAGACCCACGTGGACGATGAACATAGAATCTATATAGGAAGTGATGGCTATGCAGACTCCTCCTTTGCGGAAACAACTTGTGTGACTAATACCAACAAGGATAAATATAAAAGGTATTTTTTTATTATATAATATATATGTATAATTACATGTAAATTTATTTATAATGTAATTTGTATTATAAAATTATTGTAAGTTTATTTGTGTTCTTTTTATAATTATTTTCTCTTGTAAAAATGTTCTTATAATTTTTATTAAAAAAAAAAATATTACACTAAAGTAATTTAAATTAATCAATATAAATATATAAATTCATATGTATGATGTTTTAGTTCGATATTGATATCTCTAATCTCTCTCTGCTAATTTTTAATTATATTTGTTATCTTTTTCATAATCTGTAATGAAGCGAAAAGCGGGGAGGGACTGCACCAATCAAAAACCGAGACTGCTTTTCCAGATTTTCCTCGAAGGCCTTCGTCATTCGTCAGATACAGAACTGCGTATGCATGTATTGCGTGGCTCATAATCGAAGTTCGAATGTCGAAAGTGTGAACCAGGTGAAATTGAGCGAGTGTGTGTACGAGATTTAGATAAATTGCACATAGAGATTTTGAGGAGGAAAAATCATTATCGTGCAAAAACGAGGTTTGCAAATTGTTACAACCATATTTCGCATTAATTAGCATTCTCGTGATCGAGACAAAAAAAAAATATTTCAAAGAATCTGTTACGTGCTTTTTTGACACTACTTTCTATATTCCCGAATAATTCGAAATGTCCACGCGATATATGAAAAAAATTTATGGCAACGACGTAATTCTTGAAAAGGATAACGACAGTGCGAGTGATACAGAAATTTCGGTGACCAGTGATACCAAGTCCAAGTCTTTCAACGTCTTTGATGTGGTATGTACAGATATATGAATGTATTACATTGCCATTAATATTTACACAGTCTTCTTCAAGATGACATTGATGATAAAACTCATATTCGCAGTTGAATCAGAGCTCTGACAACGATGAACAAGATACCAGCGACAAGCAAGAAGAGGATTTGGATACAAATTGCAATGCAAATTGCAATGACATGAAAAGTAGAAAAAAGAAAAAAAAGCGTAAGAAATCGGAGAATGAAAAAACCAGGAGTCAACAACATAACGTGGAATGTGATGAAGATGAGATTGAGCGAAGCATATGGGAAGTAAACAAATTACTTGGAGAGCCGCTACCGAGTTGTAGTAACCAGGTTTTAGAGCCACAGTGGGTTAACAAAAAATCTAAAGAAGACATATTGATCATACAACATAAACACTTGAATCCATATAACGAATTAAAGAGAATCTTTGGTAGTAAAACTGTACAAGCTGAGCGAAGGTATGTACCTATAGTTATATATATTTACATGTACACATGCATAATATCTAAATTATTAATTGAAGGAAATTTTATTCTCATAGCAAAAGAAGAAATAGAGGCCGACACTTGAAAAAGACATGGTTGGTTTCCCCACGAGATACTTGGCCGCCGATTGGTAAATCTGGATTAACAATGTCCTTGGATTATTCTATAGAAACCACAGGGAATGTACAGCATTTTGTATATGAACACAGCACTTCGTACAAACAGATACAACTTAGATTTTTGCAAGCTGTTGAAAGTTTAAATCCAGAGAACATAATTGTGAGTGAATATATAGTATAATAATATTAGACTTCTTATATTACATTTCTTTGATTGCGTTTTACTTATCAAATATAATATACACTGAGGAGAACTCTAACAAAAATATTTTTTATTTATATTAATACACACTAATATATTCACAGTGCATATATATATATATATATAT